GAAGAAGTTAAAAAAATCGCCGAATGCAGCCAATGCAACGATAGAATGCTTATTTGGCCTGAAGTTCCTCTCCCTCGTGTGGGTGATCGTTGGACATTCCTTTGCATGGATACAGGTAGAGTAGCTAAATGATATGCTTTATCTTGAGCACTCCGTTGCACCTCTTCTCTCCCATGCTTCTCTTGTTCCTTTTTCTACGATCTTCAAACTTTCAAACTTTAAACTCATCTCTTTCTCCCACTCCATGCTTCGTTTGTGAACTCCTATCAGACGACGCCTCAAGCGCTGGTCCTACTGATAATTAATGTCAGTACAGTCACGTCACGCTGTGCGAATTTTTCACCTGGTAATCTTTTCAATCGCTCCTCAGTGCTCTCTATGAAGATAACTAATATACCAGTAACTGTATTCACAACAGTTCGAGTAGCATTTTGACGGATTTATAAATTGTTAAAACTGTTAAAATTCAATAACTATTAAAAACTATTAAGTTTTTGCTTTGTACTTCAGTTTTAAATAAACAAATTTTATTGTTCATATCATTTATCGCTAAAAAACTTATCTGAAAAGAAGTCTGATTATCTTTGAAAAAATTTGATTTGGCCGAATTAATCTGAAAATCGTATTTGCAGAGCTACGTCGAAAATGTGGAAGAGTATCGGGCGGACCTTTCGAATAGTTTTTTCAGCACTTTGATAACAAATCACACTCTCAGCGTTGCTAATTTCTTCCTTATCAGTGCAACTCTTACGTCTTACACGTGGTTCAACAAAACGCGCAAATGCTTCCGAGGTATTTTAAAAAAAATTACGATCTATTCAATAATTATGGAAAGTAGGCATCCTTAAGTAGGAATCCTTAAGGCTCAAATGAAATTCCTCATGAGGATTTCTTGCATTCAACAGGGTCGCCAGGAAATCTCCAAATTTACTGAGATTTTGCAGAAAGTCACTTACAAGGCGCAAACTGCTAGCGGTTTTGACCCTGAACTGCATACGTACAGCTTGTATCCGCATAATCCATCAGTATAATTTAGAGAAACCAACGTGGTACAGCTGCTCTTATTGGTTACGCTTTTATCGTCACAGGCTGATCCGTCTTTGGCCGGCTTATCTTTACTCGCTTTCGGTGCTTACTTTTCGTTCCTCAACAGCTATATATCATTCGATTTGGAGTGCCGGTGATCCATATGTGCAGTGCGTTCCACACTGGTGGCAAAATATCTTATTTATAAATATTTTTGGCGGTAATGAATGTCTCGGATGGACGTGGTAAGCAGCTATGACCCAATCAGAGCAATAGATTTTTTCATTGCAAAGAAAATTTGCTTCTGTTATATCCTAATTGTGTTTTGAAAAAAAAAAAAAAAACGTGGAACAGTCCGTTTCGACGTTATAATTTTTGAAAAACAAAGAAGTGCTCTTTTTGATCATTAGTTTTAAATTGTTTACAGGTACATTAGTGTCGAATTTATCTTTTTTGCATTTTCCCCCATATTTCTTCTTCTTTTACGCGATAAAACAATGTATGGATATGTGTTATCGTTTACTGTGATTATCACGAGCAGTGTTATTGTCGGCTTGCAGCTTTATGTGAACAATTATCCGGCATCACCGCTACCGTGGACTCGCACAGTCAACTACGATCCGAGCTTCTACAGGGTTCGCTTTCCTTGATTTTGATCGCTTCTCGGTAAAAAATGATTTACCTCTAATACGTTTCGTCTCTTAGACATTGGGCATGGAAACTATTTCCTTGCCAAGTAGCGCTAAAATGATCAAATTTTTTAGCAGCTCTTAGCAATGTACATTAAACCGCACTGCCACGTTGGCGCTTACATTGTTGGTCTCATCGTGGGCTATCTTTTGGCCACTGAATATATGCAATTCCTGAAACTCCTGAAATCTCGCTCTCTTGTTTTTTCTGCTTGGATATCAGCTGCCATTGTTGCTTTTGTTTCGGTGCAAGGGTTATATCCTATTTTACAGGTAAGTGCAATATTTGCGACTGATTTTCATGCACTTCTGCAAAAAAAACGAGTATTGATGAGAAGTTGTCGACGTGTATGTCCAACTTTTATCCCACTCTGCAATCGCTGAAGCTAGGAAGCTGTTGTTTCACGAAGTTGCTCGCGCTCCATGTGCAGCCCTGTAAAGTTAAAATGGATATC